TTTTTTTTTTTTTTTTTTTTTTTTTTTTAGAGAATGGCCTTGGTTCTGTGACCAAAATAGTCTAATTCTAGCGAAACGTGTCCCTTTTACTGTTGCAGCTGTAACAGGCTTCCTAATTTAATTGCTGTTCCTCCACACTGGCAGATCTGTATTTGCACTGAGGAGGGGCGCCTGACTCTCAGTTCAGCATTATGCTGAACTGCAGTTGAACCCATGAAAAAGACTCTGTCCTTAGAAATAATTTAAGTCCTGGATTAGTGTGCCTGAAATCAGGTGGCTGAAGACTCCCGCGATGATGGCCGCAGGGTTTGCGCTACCCCCAGTGTAGAGGGCTTGTCAGGAGCATGCCTGAGGGTGGGCAGCGGGGCAGGGATGTTGGGTTGTGTTAGCACATGGAGGCCTTAGCTGAGATTGGGCTCCTGTTGTGCTAGGCAAGTTACATATGTGTGTAGTCAGAGATGATCACTGCCCTGAAGACCTTGCAAAGGTAGACGCACCGCAGGGGCTGGCCCGTGTGCTGTTCCTCCTGTTACCTGTGGCTGGCACTGGAGGTGTCTTTGGTACGGTGGGCTCGGTGCTGTCACTTCCTGAGCATCCTCACCTCCTGTTGATGCCAAGGGAGACCGAGCGTGCTCTCCCCTTCACAGATAGGCTGTCAGTGCATGTGCCTGTGGTTCTACCCCTCTCACCACTGTGAAACCACGTGTGTGTGCAATATAATGACACATCTCATGTCACGTAGGTGACCATGGGTTTGTTATAAATGGGTTCACATGTAAAACCTGCCTCGTTGCAGGGCTGGGGAGCCCCAGCAATGCTTGTGATTTGCAAGGGGGCAGCCAGGCAGTTACTAATGGCCTATCCATTCAGCCACAGCTCCTGAGCTTTTTCTTTTCTTCTGGCTTTGATGGCAGGGACCTTTGGGCAGTCGGTATGGGATGTCAGGCTGCAGCACCTGAACGCAGCTAAGGTGCCTGGGGACATCCGAAGAGTTGGTTCTGTTCAGACCCTGAAAGTGCTCAACGAAGGCGCTTCTCCTCTTTGGAAGTGAGTGTAACAGGAGCATGTCTTTGAATGGTCACATTTAAGTAAAACTTCTCTAGCACTAATCTCTGCAAAGGGATTAACCTCTCCCTGGGTCACTTCAACTTTCAATACGCTGGGTTACTTTTCTGTATTTGAACTGGAAGCTCTGAAGTTAAAGGAGAAGGACTGCTAAAAGAACTCATTAACTAAGTCATTAGAGAGCGTATGCCCTGCAGCTGCCCTGATCTACTGGAAGTATCTGTTCAATCTCTCTCTCTGCCAATCCTGAGTGGTGTGACTAGGGCTGTATTTTGTGCTTTATGAGGCCTGCAATTTTTAACCTGGATGTAAATTTCCCTGGTTTTACCCATTCTGCTCAAATGACAGATAAGCAATGTCTCAGTTAAATTATATGCAGTCCCTGCTTTTCCAGAGCTGCCCTGATCACGTGTCCATTCGGATGGTAGCTCTCATAGCCTTGGCTCTGTCTTCGCATGCATTCAAGGGACTCCTTTTCAAATCATGGAGTGGGTGATGCAGAGCTTGGCCTCTTGCAAGATGTTTAGCTCTTCTGCTTTTAAACCCACCATAAACTTGGGATTTTGGGTGGGGGCTGAGGAAATGCTGCGTAAGGGGTAGGAGTGAGACCTGAGGAGGGAAGAATGGTGAGTCCGGGCTATTTTCCAGGCTGTCCATGTTCTTTCTTATTTATTTGTGCAGGCCTAACACTGCATCTGTTTTAAATGAATCCTAGCTCAGGGAGTAGGGAGTGCTTCCCTTCTGGCTGGCTGCTCCTAGAGGAGCAGTAGTTTTGCAGCGAAGGTGCAGTCCTCCTCTTATGTCTTTGTGCACCAGACGTACTCAGAGCCTTATGCAGTCGACAGGCCATCTGAAGAAGCAGCAGTCCGTGCTGATGGAGTATTTGCATGAAAAAGCAGGCCTCAGCTTAGGCGCACAGAAGACCGGTGGAGAAACATCCCTGAAAGAGAAGCGAATCATTGACCAAGTCGAGGCCACCTGGCAAAAGTGGGAGAAGACGGAGAAGCTGGTGAGGAGCAGTGTGGTGGTCTCACAGGCTGTTTGCAAGGGGCAGTGTGGAGGGGGCTGGGGGAAGCGTCCTACCTGGGGGAACTAGCAAAAACCTCTTTTTGAATGTAATGATGACAGAAGAGCGAGATCCTGGGATGTTCCTACAAACAGAAAGCACGGCGGCACTTGCCTGAATTCCTCCCCAGCGTGAAGACATACATCAGCAGAGATCAGGTAAGCCACTTCCTTCCTGCTGGGGCCCTGCACTGCTCAGTGCTCAGAGCAAGATGCTCAGTCTTTACCAATGGCAAGACGATTTCAGATGCGGGAGCAGTAGAGGAGAAGGCTTTGCCACTGTACGGTGAGGGGATGGGACAGCAAAGAGGCATGCACCAGGGGTGTGACAGGAACTGCAGGCTGGGCCCAGCCAGCAGCAGAGGTTGAAAGCAAGGTGGGCAGCTTCTGCATCTTAAAGATGATGGGAGTCTCGGGGTGCGAGGTCAAAGATAAGGGGTGGAACGATCCCTTGTAGCTGCTGCTTTTCTTTCTTTCATGAGTGCTATAAGCCAACAGCAAGACGTACAGAAATTCCCTTTTCCTAATGTTTCCCAATGAGCCTTATTTCGTTCGATCCAGGCAAGAGTCTACCACTGTATGCAATATGCCGACCTGCAAAATGTCACTCCGCCACCAGTCCCTGAGCTGCTGGTTGAGATGCAGCAACTTCAGGCAAGCTTTTACAACAGACCAAGGTTGGCCAGGAAACAATCTACTTCCAATGCCCGAAGGCAGAGTCTGAAGACCCCGCTCCAGCATTATTTATCTTCCCACAAAAAGGACTGAACTTTGCAGCCAGCAGCTGATCTGGTCCTTTGCAATATGGATTCATACCTTAGCAGAGAAGAAAAGTAGAGGATAAGTAATAAACTAGTCCTTGGCTAAGAAAACACAGCTAACTGAAGTCCGTACACTATGCATGCCTTATTCCTGGCTTGCAATAGTTGCGGATAATCCTGGCCATCTCTCTTTTTTTATACGAGCACTGAACAGGGACAATATTCGAGATAACGCTGGATCGTGCAAATAAAGGTAACATTCATTTTGTTTATGCACTTGGAGTTTAGTGTGTGACATGGTTTTTTTTGATGAATGGGCTGTCAAGCCTTGAAAGTAGCCCGTTAGAATAATCCTAAGTGTTAAACGCGCCTTGTTGGAGTGGTTTTCTATTGCTCTTCAGAATGTTTTTTGGAAGAGCCCTTGACACCAGAACACAACTGGATTCGCAACGAAGCCAGGATTGGTGACATTAAATGCAGATAGCAAGTGTTGTCCCAGGTATGTACATGCGTGAAATCTTTTGCTTTGAATTGTCTAGGTAGGATCATGAAGACAGTCTGTGCTGAGTCATATCTCCAAAGCAGCTAATCCTAATGAGAGCTTATAGCATCTTCTCTGAGTGCTGTATGAACTCCTCTGTCAGAAAGTTATCCCCATTTTACAGATGGGGAAAAATGAGGCACCCTCCGGTTAAGTGTCTTGCCCAAGGGTTGCACTGTTTGCCAGAAGCAGAGCAGGGAAATTGCCTAGAGAGCCTGACTCCAGGTCCAGGCCTGTGGCCACTAGAAAATGCTTTCCCTTGACTGAGGAGCTCTTTCTACAAAACTGCCACGCCCTGCTGCTATACTAGATCCATCAGTACAAGCAGCTTTCCAAGGGGCCTCTGGGATTTCAGCAGGGCTGAGGACATGGCTGCCTTCACACATGCTAGTGATGGGTGGGTTGTAGGTAGATTCTTCTGTAAAAATATGGTTCAGGTGGTCAAAACGGCTCTCAGGGATGTGGTTGTTAAATGAGGATACAGTAGGATGTTGCTGCCATCTCGTGGCAGTAAGAGCCCGCCGGGTGCTCAGTCGGACAGGAGGGCTGGAAGGGACTGGAGGAGGCCACCCAGCCTGTCCTCTGCTCTTAGCCTTTAATGATGCTTGGCCTCCCTAGGCCACTTGTTCTGTTGCTTCATGATCCTCGCTGCTAGAAAGGGTTTCCTAATGTCTCGGCTACGTCTCCCTTGCTGTAGTTTAAGCTCTTCACTTCTCCCAGTGGACATGGAGAAGAGCTTGCCTTCCTCTCTACAGCAGCCTTGTACTTGTCTGAAGACTTTATTGTGGCTTCTCTCTCTTGCCTTGAAACTCAACAAGCCTCGTTCTTTCAGCCATCCCTCATGGGTCATGTTTTCTAGAGTTCTGATCGTTTTTGCTGGTTTTCTCATGCGTTTCATTCATTTACATTTCATTGAAACTCATTTCGTTCAAATGCCTGGCATTTCATTCATGCACTTGTCGAGAATCTTTTCGATGCTAACCCTATCCTCTAAAGTGCTTGCAACCCTCTCCCAGCCTGGTGTGGTCTGCAAATCGAATGAGTGTTTCATCATCCCAGTTAGTGAAGACATTGAATAGTGTCAGACCGAGGGAGACTTCTGATGAAGCCCACTTGACGCATCTTTCCAGACTGAGCATGAGGCACTGAGGAAGACTGTTTCCGGGCAGCGTGCTGGCTAGTTGTGATCCCACCTTGCAATTGCTCCATTGAGACAATATTTCCCTGGCTTGTTTTGTGAGCACTTTGGGTAAGAACACGTCCAAAGGCTTACTGAAGTCAAAGATATGTTGCATCTACTGCTTCTCCCCTATCTACAGGGTCTCTTACTGTACCTTCGGAGGAGATTAGACTGGTGTTACATGATTTGTTTTAGTCGTGTGCCACTTTACTACCTACTCAGTGATTTGCAAGTTGAAGTTAGTGCTGACTGGTCAGTTAGCACCTGGGTCATTCTTCTTCCTCATTTTAGTGATGGGCACAAGCTTTGCCCCTTGTCAGTCTTCTCGAGCCTCACCTGCCCTCCCCGAGCTCTCGGAGATAATTGCTAATGCCTCTGAGATGGCTTAAGTCCGTTCCCGAGCTGCTTGGTGGTGAAATGTCACCAGGCCCAGACAGAAGCTTCTGATTTATTTAAGCAGTCTCTAATTAGTTCTTCCCTGCTCTAATCTGAGTTCTTGCCAACCCTTCTTGTCATTGATGCTAATTGTGTCAGCCATCTGGTCCCGGTAAGTCTTTTTACTGGAGACTGAAGCAAAGAAAGCCTTCAACACTGGCCTTCTCTGCATCATCTTTTGTTAGCTTTCCCTCTCTGGTGAGTGGCAGACCACTTCTCTCCTTGTTTTTGGCCAGACAGACTTGCTCAATATGTTGACTTCAGAGTCTCTGTTACTGCTCTGTTCTGGCTGCCTAGCCAAGCTACCCCCCGTAGAGCTACCTGTCTAAGATCCAGGATTAGGAAAAAGTTTATTTGTTTCACAAACTCTTAGCTTTAAAGTTAAACTGGTTGACCCCAGGCCTCTTACTGGGAAATAACCCTCTGTTTTCATCTAACTTTTTCAAGTAACTTTGGTAGGGGAAGAAAAGGTTTGAGGCAGGGATTTGATTGCAATCTTCAAATACCTGAAGGGTGGTTATAAAGAGGATGGAGATAGACTGTCCTCTGTGGTTGTAGAGGGTAGCTAAGAGCAATGGCCTCAAACTGCAGCAGGGGAAGTTGAAGTTGGAGATGAGGAAGATCTTTTTGACTTGAAGGTGGTCAAACACTGCAACAGGCTACCTAGGGAACTTGTGGGATCTCCATCCCTGGAAATTTTCAGGCACGGGTTAGACAGATACTTGGCTGGCATGGTTTAGTCAGGAATGATCCTGCCTTGAGCTGGAGCAGATGTGAACTCATGAGCTCCCTCCAGTCTTACTTTCCTATGAGCTTATGATCCCGAGACCTTTGCCAAACCCAGAGACGTTTTTACTAAAGGTCAAAAAATGACCGACTTAAACATGATGTGCAGAATTACTTTTATTCTTTCCATGTGCCAGCCAATTATAGAGGCTTTTTAAATGTAAATAAATGGAGGGGCTTCTCTGTGGCGTAGTCAGCTGCTCGTCTCATTCTAAGCACACAAGTGTTGAAGATTACAAAAGGAAATGCCTTGCAGTAAGTGCTGCCACCCTATTAAGTCCCCATATCGTCCTTTCCACGTGGTGCATGTGCAACCCCCTCCCAACCCTTTCCAGATGTGGGGGACTAAGGCATAGACCATAGGATCACAGGAAAGCGCAGCTGGAAGGGCTGAATTGAGTCTGAGAGCTGGGAAATGATTGGGAAGGAACCAGTGCCTTTGCCTGAGGGGGTTGACTGGGGCAGGGGTAGCTCCTTTCACTGCTTGCTCTCGAGCATCCAGATTCTCGCACTCGGGGTCCTGTGTGTGTTACAGCAATTGCTGCTGGCACTGAGCATGATCCCTCCGGAGAGATTCACTGGTTTCACGCTGCACCGCTGTCTTAGTCTGGCTTTCACGTGGCTTCGTTCCATCCTGGTGTGACGGGCAATCCTCTGGCCCCGTGGACACATGGGTTCTTGGGGCGTTTCTCCTCTCACTGCTGGTGCGACAGGGGAAAGTTGAAATGGAAAAGAGATGTGTATTATGCAGCCCCCCGCAGGCCATTAAGCTGTAGCATCAGCTGCATTAGGCCTAAGTCTGTGTTAATGCAGAAGGTGGGAGGTATCTGCAGGGAAAAGCACCACTACTTGGAAAATGCAAAAGGGAAAGCAATTAGGCCTTCATTGCACACCCAGCCCCTTTCCTGATTCGCATTTGGTGCTGTTTGGATGTCCTGGAGAATTTGCCCACTGACCTGCCTCAGGGGAGCATCTAGATAGCTGGAATTCAGTATCTTGGGAGAGGGATCTGGCCATGTTTGACTGTGCGTAGAAATGCCTGGCTTACAGGCACGAGACAGGGTTTTGCAGGGGGCTCTCAGTCCCTCCTTTGAAACTTTGGTCTTTTAAGCAAAGTCCTACCGGCATTTTCCAGGAAAAACCCTCGAGCAGAAAATTGTAAGGAGCTTCTGGTTAGAGAGAAAGAGGGAAGTTGGGGTATTATGCTCATTGGCGTCAAGTGCTCAGGTACCTGGTTATGGGAGAGGTATAACTATGCTCAGCTAAAGTGGCTAATATCCTTTCTGTGATGATGACACGCTAATGGCCAAGGACACACACGCGTTCAGGCATGTTATTTGGTAATTGAGTGGAGTATGTCTCGGTGGGGACAGTTGAGAAAACTTGGAGCATCGTCATAAACGTCAGCAAGTTTGAAAAACCTCCAAACTTTTTCCCATTGCAAGGCTTGCCGTTGCACACATTCCTGCTCAGTGACATACCAGTCTTCAGGGGCTGCAGCAGACTGGGAATCTGAGAGCTCTGTTTTCCCTTGCGAGAAAGAAGGGGTCTGTGTGATGCCAGCGAGAGAAGATTCCTGACATACTTTCCCCCATTCCCTCTCTCCTCACAGTGAAATTTTTCTGCAGTGGAAGGAAATCTCCAATGATTTTCTCCTTTTTAAAAAAAGAGACGGTTTTATAAATAGCTGAAAATGTTTTCTTACCCAAGCCAAAGCTCTGCTGGGCATGTGATGCAAAATGCAGAGAAGCAGATGCAGGAGCTTAAACGACAATGCCTTGTACTCCACGGTGCTCCTTGGCATTTTAGTAGCTCGTAATTATACCTCTTTTTAGAAAGGCCCAATTGTTTTTGAAGTGGCTTTGAACTCTGGGACTAAGTGGTGCTTTGACAATGGCAGCTGATAGCATCTCGGCCACCAGCCCACGTTGGGGCTGACTGCGATGTCCAGGCGCATGGGGCATGTCGCCTGCATTGTGCAAGCTGGGCTGCTGTGTGTGCGCCTCTTGGCTGGGGGTGGGCACAGCAGAAACCAAGCCCCCTTTCCTCTGTTGAGAACTACTCGCTGTGATCTCAGACCACCTTTTATTTTTTGGAAGCAGCAGGGGCTCAATACTTCTCTAATATAATGTAGGTGCACAGAGGGAACTCTCCCTCATGCATGTATTACCTGCACAGAGCGTAACTTTGTGCAGGTTTTTCCAGTTTGTCCAGTAAAGATGCAATCTGTCCCTCCCCAAAAACCGTGGCTGGATTCCAGTCCTTCAGCGCAGCAAATGGCTCCATTGGTGGAGGCACTTTTAATGAGCAAGGTGAGTGGTGCTGA